ACCTCCATCACTGGGTGGTAGTGTGCTAACCTGAGTAAACAAAATGGTAGAATTCATGATAAACTGAAAAAGATTGTGATGGAAAATGGGTAAACTTGGGAATACTGACACCCCTGTGACATACCTCTTCTTTTGAAGAACCCTGCTGCGCATCTGCTTCTTGTTTCTCAGCGTCTTTCTTGAGTTGTAATTTCATTCGAGTGTTCTCCTGATCCATCATCCGCAGCTGCTCCTGTGTTTTCCCCAGGGTGACCTCCAGGCGGTCACGTTGATCTTGAAGTGCTTTGAGATCATCCCCTAACCCCAGGCTCCTGTAGGCTTCCATCAGGGCCTCAGATTCCTCACTGGGGCTTTCCTCCAGGTTTAGGATCCCTCTGGAGCACCAGGTCCCCAGTTTAAACTCATCTAGTTTCTCTTTAGTCAAGGACAGTGACTGGGGACAGGTGTTGTTTTTTTTAAAGGTTTTAGGCGGATTTTCTGAGTTGGCAGATGAAGAGTGATCCTCTGTGTTGTCCTGTAGGCTCTCTGCTGCCACCAGCTGGTGAACAGGTGGAACTACAGAGGAATAAGGCTGGCCTGTTCCCTCATCCGACGTTAGATGTACCTACACAGAGATAACAGTTGTGGGACAAAATGTGTGAATCCTGTGAAAATGAAAATGACAAAACACCGAATAATATAACATAATCCACATTCATGTCTCAGGTAGCTATAGTGACACATTTATATTTAGACACACCTTGAAGCATTGACAACACATTATGTAACATCCTAATCCTATCGCTATAGAGCTTTCCCTTTTCAGGAGATGTCATCCTTTTTATGCTGTAACACCTTCTTTTGGAATAACAAGAAGGTATTAACAGCATTAAGCCAATAATAAAACCGAATTGAATATTTGTTCACCCTTTAAATATGTTTACCAACACTTTATGATTCGTCTAATGTGAAAAACTAGTTTAAATGAATCCCAGAAACAACTTACTTTATTAAATCAACTAATAGTCCTCTTTAATCTCTCAGGAACTTGATAAATACTTCTTGTCTAAAGTATTTTCTCAAGAAACCATAAATGTATGTATGTAAGTGTATACATTCATGGCATTCAAAAACATAATAGATATACAATTGAAGCTGTTCAGTTCTTTTTGTAAATATCTGTGATTTTGATTAGATACTTTTAAATGAAATGTGGAATGATTGTGTTAAGAAAACTGGATTTGGATATTATAATGGGTTCTTGTATTCATGGCTGTTTTGTTTCTGTTTACTTGTTTTTATATATTTTGTTTAGCTATCTTTCTGTTTATCTAAAAAAAAAGTTAACATACACAATATGTGGTTGTATGCTCAAACGGCAACTCAATGGTTGCTTATTAAAGTTAAAAAAACAACTTAAAAGTCTAATCACACTGAACTTTACATTGTTGACCTTTTTAGAGGTAACTTTGTTGTGTTGTTTATCTGTTCTGACAGTGTTGATCTCCAAAAAATAAACCTACATTTAATATAATATTGTGTCACGCACCTCTCCCATGGCAGTGTGAGAGACAGTGTTGGTCCCAGGACATGTGGCGGTGTGTTTAGCTGCATCTGTAAGACTCTGCTTGAGTCTCTGGTTCTCCTCCTTCAGCTCTCCAGCCTCCTCCATCAGGGAGCTTTCAGAAAGCTTCAGCTGTTGCTCCTCTGCCTTCATCTCCTCCACCTTGCACCCCAGGAAGTGGCTGTTCTCCTGGGACTCCTGAAGCTGCTCCATCAGTCTTCTCCGCTCTGTCATCCCATGCTCCTCTCTCTCCAGCAGCACCCTGAGGTCCTCCTGCAGGCTCAGGATGAAGCCTTGCAGCCTGGCTTCACTTGGAGTCTGCGTTGCGTCTTTGACTGGTCCCCCTTGTATGTCTTTCTCAGCTTCCCTTTCATTTCCCACACTGGACTGCCATTGCCTCCTCCTCTCCTCCTTTCCCTCTTCCTCTCCTTCTCCCTCTCCTCTCGTAGGAGGAAGCCTCTCCTGTTCTTCCCAGTGTGTTAGAGTCCCGGCGGTGATTCTGACTGCACTGATTTTTGTCAAACCAGTGGCTGCACTCACGGTCATGTCCAGCAGCTGCTTCTCTAAGGTGTAGATCCGGTTCTGTTGGCTCTGCTCTCGGTCCCGGGCCAGGCTGATCTTGTGCTGGAGTTGGGTTTTAAAGTTTTCAAAGTACTGGGACTGGCGACTCATCTCCTCCTCTTTGGCCTTCAGCTGCCGCTGACAGCGCTGCAGTCTGTCCCGCCAAACCTGCTCCCCTCGCTCCTTGTCCCGGGTCTGGGTAGGGGGGGGGGGGACATTGAGACATTAAGACAAGCACAGGGAGATTTTAAATGCATAGATACTAAAGTCAAGTCTGAAAAAATAATTCCTCAGTTAACAGTTATTCAAAGCTACACTGCTGTCCTCTAAGAATATGAAATAGTGTGTGTGTTATTGTTGGCATTATCTGTAGTTAAAATGTGTGACTTGTGTCTTTTTATTTGTATTGTGCATGATTGAACAAACCTGAAATAAATTAAGCTATCTATCTATAAAGCGAACACAGTGTACTTCACTTAAAAGCAGATATACAATGAAAATGCATCATTCAAATTGCCTTGAATCTCAAAGATTGAAATAAAACATTTAAAATAATTAAGGAACATAAATTGTTATTTTCAAGCACTCACCATCGTCCTGACCTCGTCCCTGAGCATGTGTAGCCTCTGGTCCAGCCTGTAAGAGTGTTGCATGCTGGGGGGTGGGGGGCAGAGGTTAGCTGACAGAGCTGTAGGAGCAGGCTCCTCTCTGACCTCTCTATCTCCCTGATCCCATCACCACATCACTGACAGGCTCACATTACATCCCATCAACTTCACACAAGGGTGCACGTACGCATACAAACTGGAAGGTTAAATAACTTTGATCTAGCTTTCTACCAACCTTCAAAGAGAAGAGTGAGAAGATAAAAAATGTCCTCCAGCTAATGATTCCAGAGGAGATGTTAGCAGCCGTGTGCTCGCAGTGTGCAGAACAGTCAGGTGTGTTTGAAATGTGAGATCACCTTGGACAAATGTGAGTATATAGTAGCAGAGGTGTGTGTGTGTGTGTGTGTGTGTGTGTGTGTGTGTGTGTGTGTGTGTGTGTGTGTGTGTGTGTGTGTGTGTGTGTGTGTGTGTGTGTGTGTGTGTGTGTGTGTGTGTGTGTGTGTGTGTGTGTGTGTGTGTGTGTGTGTTGCGTGTGTGTCACTGGATCCCCTCTCCCACAGTCTCTCACCTGTTCCTCGGGTAGCTGTCAAACTGGAGGGTCGATCCGTCACGCTGCTCCAGCTCAGATCCCATCGAGTCTGTTGCCATGGTTACTACACTTCTTCCGGTACCCGTCATGTCCGATGAGGTCACGTGATCCTCCACTGGTTAGCCTGCTGTGAGTTTAACCTGCAAAAGGAGCTAAAGGTGTCAGCTTCACTTTAATGTAAAACTAACACTTCCTTAAAAGTAGAAGTGTTACACATCCTCCCTATGATTCTTGTTTGTATTTTCTTAACTACAGCCTCTCCATAAACACACAGCCATTGGCAAAGATAAAAGCAGACATAGGAAAATATACAAAAACATAAAGTCATGTATTATTCACCATTTCAACAGCTTGGTAGCAAGTTGTAGAAGGTGGTATTTCTCAGGTTACCCTGCCTCCTAATCCTGCCGTCTCCTCCTTCTCCTCAGATCACCTCTCACTAATTCTCCAGTTCCCCCAGAACTCAAAGAGTAGGTTCTTACTCACATGCCCGTATGCAAATTGAAACAGCTTTTGGTCTGTTGTGATAATCACATTATTTTCTACCATAGTATAAACTATTTTACACTAGAGATGGACTTCTTTGGGCTCGTGTTTTGCAGGATTGTCAATTGTTGGGCTCGGTCTTGTCACCTTTATTGACAGGACGGCAATGTGTGAAATGATGAATGACTCACTTGAGCATATTTTTATATTTACATATTAAATAAAATACTGTGAATATAAAAGCCGTTTTTTGCCATGTAAAATAAGTTTTAAAATTAGGAAAGTGGGAAATTGTTGTCATCAGGTCAAGAGCCTAGATTTGAATAAACTCTGAGAGAATGTCCTTTTACTCTTTTTATTGCATTTGTATATTCATACATACATGGTGCGCCTGTGTTCTCTAAAAATGTGTTTTGGATTGTAATTTGTAAAAGAATGTGGTTATTGTTTTCTTAGCAGACTGTTGTAACCTAATAAGTAAGCTAGCAAGCAAGTGTAGCCAATGCATAACAAAACAGGCTCATTTTTGTAAAGAGAAAAAATCATGATTTTTGTAGTCATTTAAAAATAGTTAAACTCACACAAGGTTAAATATGAGCTGTTGTAGTATTACATGTACAAAGGATTGGATTATCAAAGGTAATATAATTATAATAACCTGTTTTTTGCACTCCACTGATTGCAGTTTCATCTTCTTAATGCAGCGACGATCTTCCAGTAACTTCAGCCTTCAGTGTGTAAACTTAGTTGCGCTGTTGTTGCCTTAGAAACATCCCAGACGTTGGACTTTGCCAGAATCCTCCAAATCCAGTTGGCCCTCAGCTTGTCCCCCCCCTCCCCTCACTCCCCTCTGTGCTTTCACTCTCCTTGTCCCCCCTCCATCTTTCCTTTCTTTTAACCAACTGGGCATTCTTTCAACCAAGGCTGATTCTTTTCTCCCCTTGAATAAATCCTCTGATTCAGAGTTTTCTCTCAGTAAATCCATGTTTGCTTCTCATAGAGGAGTTTTTATATTCCAGGTCCAAGAACCATTATAGTAAATGTTATTTATACATAAATCTGACTTCAAACCTTAAGTATATCTGGTTCCTTATTACATTTTTAAATATGTTTGCATTCCATGTAAGGGTCAAAAGTGCACATGTATCAAAAAGGCCATGGGGTTTTCATGAGCTGTCTACAAATGCATAAAAAACGATCCACAGCAACCTCATCACACCTAAGAGAAGGAAAGGGTGTTTCTCATTATATCTTCATTATTTGTTTTTTCACTGTAACTGTGTTAAGTACTGTTATGTGCACATCAAAGTTGCTACCTGATGTGTGTCCACGGTCACTTTCATTAAGGCCAAAGAATAAATGCTAATGAGAAAAACAAAAAGAGGAACAAAAACTAAAGAAAAACAAGGGGTATAATCAAGAGGGTGAGAAGAAAAAGAGTATCAATATGTTAATCAAAAACACACACCATCAGTAAATCTTCACAATCTCTCTTGCTTACGTGTTTCTAGTCATATTAAAGTAAAAAGGGAATATTTACCTTTTCCTCTATGTCCTTTATTTGTCGCTTTTGCAATTCAAGCCTGTCCTCCAGGTCTCTAATCCTCTGCAAGGAAAGGACAGACGTGGCTAAGTCAACAGATGAAATACAGTCACATGTATAGTCAACAGTTAATGAGACCAGGATCCAGCTATTCCTTTTTCCCCATCATGCCTTTCTGTCTCCATGGAAGCTGTTTTGGGTAAGAATGAGCTGCCATGGCAACCAAAGGGCAGATTAAACAGTGAAAGTGACCTAAAACCAGAGCAGCATTATCCCTGGTTGAACATTAACATATAAGTGTTATTTTGGCAGACAGACAATGATAGCCTTTGAATTACAAAACAAAACCACCTGCTTTTTTGTTTAATATCATCATTCCAATGCATCTCTGTTGGAGCTGATGCTAAATCCAAAATCATGTGAATCATTCATTAAGTAAATACAAATAAGCTGTTTACTATGAACTAATCCATTGTGTCAGCAAGGAGAGTGAGAAAGTGCGAGAACTAAAGCCCAACTGCAGGGAAAAGGGAATCATTTTACTGAACCTTTAAATCTATCAGGACATTCCATCAATACATTTACTTATTATATGTTATGAGTAGTTGATAAGAAATGTGTTTGTAATGTTTAGTGGTGAGAGATAAGAAGAAAATGTTAGGAAGTTACAGTACAGAAAATGGTTCGAATGATTTTAAGGTGCAGTGGTTGTTGATGCACTCAATGAGTTACATAAGATGTACGAGCCATGGGTGTAAAAACTAATGTGAGGGCTGCAGAGTGGAGGGATACTGAAGAAGTTAGGGTGGGGGTATTCAGATCACAATGACATAAACACACTCAAACACACAAAGTGATTCTGTCTCATCCTCTAACTCTTGCACTTATACACATGCACTTACAGATAGGGTCACAGGTTGCACACACAGGGATACTGCATCTTTCTCATAGCACCAGAGGTGGTGAGGTGAGACGGGTCAGACAGGTACCGGGGTCAGATTGAGAGGCAGCGGTAACCTCCATTTGTTTTCAGCCTTACCTGCTGGGCCTGCTGTAGGAGCTCCATGCGCTCCTGTAAGATCTGACTGTCAAACTGCCGGCTCTGCCTGAGAATCTGCCGCCGCAGCTTGTCCACGGCTAGCCTCAGCTCGTCCCTCTGCCTGTCTGTCAGCGACTCTGCCACCGCCCGGCATGCCGGCTGCTCCTGCTGCAGAGCGCTATACAGCGTGGCCTCCAGCTCGTCGATCCTCTGCACAACCAGCCACATACACACATACAGGTACAAAAACACACACACACGTGGACAGTTACATGCGCATGCAAAAACACACACACACATGCATGCACAAGCACACACATGGAGGGACGCATACAACCGGAAACGCATATGCACACAAAGACACACACACACACACGCACACACACATACACACCACTGTGACCATGGCAGTTGTGAGGAACAGTGTTCCACTTTCTATTGGGTTTTTATAGGCTTGACATTCACATGATAACTTAAACTACACTAAGTTTCCTAAAGTTGCCTGACTGTTCCTACAAAGTCACAATGTAAAAAACTGCAAGCGTTCAGCAACACAATATAAAGTGGGACCATAAACACAAACCAACACCAAAACTGACCCAATTAAATGGTTAGAGAGGGATGTAGGTGTCTGTTTTCCTTTATACAGGGATGCAAACTCATCAGGTATGAAAAAGGTGACAAGGATCCGAGCCCCCCGACCCCACGGAATATCGGCTTTAAAATTAGGAATAACAGAGGATTTTAGCAGTCAGAACAACTAAAGCAGTTAATAATAACAGAAACGCCAAAGAGTCACATCTAATAGAAATATATAAAAGCATTTATTTTAATTGTGTAGCAGTCAGTTTATAATTTTGGCAGCACTGTTGAGCATTTTGAAAATGTATTTTCATGCCTCTGTGCAAGGCTTAGTCTTTCTATCTTTATAGCCACTGGTGTAAAGTAACTTCAGTAAGTTCATAAACTCAATTACTATACTTGGGTACAATTTTGAGATACTTGTACTTTATTTAAGTATTTCAATGTTTTGCTACTTTGTTCTTCTTCTCCACTACAGTTCAGAGGTAAATGGTGTACTTTTACTCCACTACATGTATTTAATACCTTTAGTTACTTTACAGATGTGGATGAATGATGTGAAATATAATCAAGTGTTAAATCAGACTTTAGTTCCACCTGGAGTAAATTCACAAGCTACCCTGCAGTATACAAAGTCATTCAAACTAGCTGCACCTTTACCAGCTTTGAGAACACTTTAATGATCAATCATTATAAAACATATCATATATATTATTCTGAAATGGACCAATCTGCACAATGACTACTTTTACTGTCGCTACTTTAACTATATTTTGATGAGAATACTTTTCTACTTTTACTTGAGGAACATTTTGAATGCAGGACTTTTACTGTAACAGAGTATTCCTACACTCTGGTACTTCTACTTTTACTCAAGTACAAGACCCGAGTACTTCTACTTTTACTCAAGTACAAGATCTGAGTACTTCTACTTTTACTGTCGCTACTTTAACTATATTTTGATGATAATACTTTTGTACTTTTATTTGAGGAACATTTTGATTGCAGTATTGTTCCTACACTCTGGTACTTCTACTTTTACTCAAACCTGAGTACTTTTTTTTACTCAAGTACAAGATTTGAGTACTTCTACTTTTACTCAAGTACAAGATCTGAGTACTTCTACTTTTACTCAAGTACAATATCTGAGTACTTCTACGTTTACTTAAGTACAAGATCTGAGTACTTCTACTTTTACTCAAGTACAATATCTGAGTACTTCTACTTTTACTCAAGTACAAGATCTGAGTACTTCTACTTTTACTCAAGTACAATATCTGAGTACTTCTACTTTTACTTAAGTACAAGATCTGAGTACTTCTACTTTTACTCAAGTACAAGATCTGAGTACTTCTACTTTTACTCAAGTACAATATCTGAGTACTTCTACTTTTACTTAAGTACAAGAACTGAGTACTTCTACTTTTACTCAAGTACAAGATCTGAGTACTTCTACTTTTACTGTCGCTACTTTAACTATATTTTGATGATAATACTTTTGTACTTTTATTTGAGGAACATTTTTGATTGCAGGATTGTTCCTACACTCTGGTACTTCTACTTTTACTCAAACCTGAGTACTTCTACTTTTACTCAAGTACAAGATTTGAGTACTTCTACTTTTACTCAAGTACAAGATCTGAGTACTTCTACTTTTACTCAAGTACAATATCTGAGTACTTCTACGTTTACTTAAGTACAAGATCTGAGTACTTCTACTTTTACTCAAGTACAATATCTGAGTACTTCTACTTTTACTCAAGTACAAGATCTGAGTACTTCTACTTTTACTTAAGTACAAGATCTGAGTACTTCTACTTTTACTCAAGTACAAGATCTGAGTACTTCTACTTTTACTTAAGTACAAGATCTGAGTACTTCTACTTTTACTCAAGTACAAGATCTGAGTACTTCTACTTTTACTTAAGTACAAGATCTGAGTACTTCTACTTTTACTTAAGTACAAGATCTGAGTACTTCTACTTTTACTCAAGTACAAGATCTATACTTATACCACCTCCGTTTATAGCCTATGAAAAAAACTATTAGAAAACGAAGGCTAAAGCTAACGTTAATAGATAGTGACAATGTATGCTAGTTAGCTAGCTCGACAACGATAATATTGCGACAGAAAAACTTTTCAGTGCACATCATGCTCTGCCGCTCCGACAGGGTGCACTGCTCTGAACACCTGAACGGCCCGTTCTAACAGCTGTTCACCAGCGGTGCAGTCTGTGCCACAGTGACTCCGGACCGCACAGTTAATATTAACGAACGCACCCGTAGATAATGTAGCTAATGAAGCTAGACCATCATCGTGGAGCAGCAGAGCCTTATTATACATCCATGAGCAGAGCCGACAGGCAGGAAGACTCGAGCACACAGATCGCGCTGCATTATAATATATACACCATGCGTGTCATGATGGCACATAACAGCTCGCGGTTGCCGATTACTCCGGGTCCCAGACCCCCCCCATACCCCAAAAATATTTTTATTGCAGATCTACATGAATCACACAAACGACCTATTTTGGATTCAAAACGGCGAATTTCGCCGAAAGGTGACAAGTTTGCATCCCTGTTTATAAGTCAGTGGAAGGGGAGAATGTTTTAGGATCAATTATGCAAACATAAAAAGTAAAATCTTATTTCACTAATTCAGGCTAGACTTCTACTTCAAGTCACAACTTGATAATATAATAGTATATAAACAGGATATTAATAAGGCATTATATCTTCTATAATAGTAGTAGAGTACTTTACTGTTAGCCTTTTCACAAGATATAAGGGCATTGGGCCAATAAACAAGAAGCCAAATGCTAATTCAGGGGCTTAGGTTTATTTATTTTTACAGAATTTAGACTTTAGTGGTAAAAGATGCAGTATCCCAACACAATGCAACAATGTTAACCTTATGGAGGATGTTGAATTAATGTAATGGGGTTTAATGTGTTTGTGTCATGCTGGAATGACAATGTTGTACCCCCTGCATTCCTAAATCTCTTTCTCATGAACCATTAGACGTTGTGCACAACCTTAGTAATTGTTATAATTAAGACAGATAAGTGTGTTTTTGCTTATTAAAAGGCTTTGGGCAGCTTTTTTTTTTTTTTATTAAGGTCAGCTCGAGGATTCGTACCATGTAAGCCTGATCCAAGGCCTGCTTCCTGTAGTCCAACTCTTCCTCGAGGTATCCCTTCTGCTTGCTGAACAGCTCCTGCAATGAGATGTGATAATAAACAAGACCGGACATGGTATACAACTGTGTAAGTTTAGGATGCAAATATGCATGAGCTTTCACAGAGAGTCATAACATTAGAAGAATGCACACTCTTATGGAAAACTGATTTTTCACCTTGTCATTTTCCAGGTCGATCATCTTCTGTGTTAGGGCGGCCTCTGTGCTATCGATCTGCTTCAACCACTGTATGGGGAGGAAAGAGGAAGATTAGTGGCCTCAAAGTGAATCCAATCACAGAAGCTAACATAATTGTATTATATAGGGTTCTTGTTGTTCTGAGATTTAACTTAACAAAAATAACTCAAATGTAGTGTCTTTTTTGTTGAAATAAATGCAATGTTATGGCAAAGTGTGTCCACTGTGTGTGTCAGTAAAAACACATCATGCCTGATAGGCCTTTACTCACCTTTTCACACAGTGAGATCACTGTTCCTGCTTGGATTACCGCTACCTGCTCTTCATTTCTGAGATTCTACAGAAGACACATCAGGAGTTATCCAAAATTATAAAAGTAGCAGAGATTATTTAAAGATCCAAAATCTAACAACGTGTGAACTCACCCCATTATCCCCCAGGATATCCAGTTTCTTCATCAGCTCAGGAATGATTACATCCTGCAGAGAGTTCGAAATCAGTCTAAATTAAATACTTCTCCAAAATTATAATATGCATTAAAAAAAAAAATTCTCGCAGGCCTCCACAGTTCAAGTAGAATCCAAGTAGAGTACATTTTAAAAGGTAACACTGGAAGTTAATATGAAAATGATCACTTTGAGGGTGAAGTATTCCTTTAAAATTAATATTTTCTGTGGATGTGTGTCAAATTACATACTTTTAGTATGTACTGCAGTTGCTCTGACTAAGTTTGTATAATTGCTTGCAGTATGCATACAATCTAGTATACTACTCTATCAACTTTGACCCTCTTGATTATATGCAACCATGTGTGGTCAGAATACCCAGAAACACACGCTGGCTTGCATACTGCATAATGTGACCTTATGCAGTATGACCTTGAGTAGGACATCCTGGTATTTTTGGCATACTGATTTTGACATAACGTTTTTTTGGGACGTACACTGTTTTTGTGTATACTGATTGTTTGGTAGTAATATAACACACATTGTGTTTGTGCAAGTGTGTTATCACCTTGACTCCCTGCTGGTGGCAGTACTTCTGCAGGGCGCTGCTGCTGTTCTCAGGGAACGCAGACATGTGGAGATTGAGGGCGGGAGATCTGTGCTCCCTCTCCTACAGGAAGTACACATGATGTTAATGCTCACACACACAAACAAACATCAGGACATCAGCCACACGAACAAGTCCTACAAGTCATGATAACATGTGTCGGTGTTCTTTGATGACTAAATGTAAATGAGAGTGAAAAGGGAGTGAATGACAGATTTACTTACATGACACTGAATTATGGTTCAGGATCTGCCAAAATGAGGGAGGTGGAAATCCATGGATTTAAATGGGAAACCGAACGACACCAAACCAAAAGGGAGTTTGAAAACACATGCGGAAACTCAAAAAGGTGCTACTTGGCCAACATTTGGACACACCTGCTACACAAACTGATGCAGTATTAACTGATATAGTCATTTTGACATGCAGGTCAGTTATTCCAGTACTTCTCTAGTTCTAACCTTCATTTTAAAGAAAATGAGTTAGCAGAGAAAAACTCCCCAAAAAATGTATTTATCCATGGACATGGAAAATGTAAACAAAGATACGAGACACGTGCAAAAATGAGAGACAAAATGAACAAAGATGGGATTGAATATTGAACTTAAAATACATTTTTATTCAATTCTTACACAACATTCTTTCATTAAAAAAATATTCCAGTTAAGTGGAGGGTATGTGAACACAGCTGCCATGCAAAACAATGCAAAACACAAATGCATACAGAGGAGGACTCAAGTGTGTCTAGGTGATCAGTGCGTCTGTCTGTCTGGTAAGTCACTGTATGTAGGTCTTGCATCTGGAACTGAGATTGTTGTTGTCGCCTCCCGGTGACAGTTTGACGATGGTACAGTCTCTTACTTCCAGTTCGAGCACTCTGAACTCCAGCAGCTCGTTCTGGTCCCGGGCATCCTGAACCTCGGCCTGCAGCCGCAACTCCGCCTGCTGCAACGCGCTTATCTGCAGACACACACACATGCATCTTAATTATAATGGTTTGGCATGCTTTACAAATCATTACAACGTCCTAAAGTTACAATATCATAATTTTTTTTTAAAGATTTGGAAGCAGAAACAAGAATAAAAACGACTGTTTGGTATCGCTACATTAATTATACAACACTATGTTAATATATCACCAAGGCACTATAGAATTTTTAACAATACCAATCGTTTCTTTGTTGCCATAGTAAAGTGATGCATAACATGTTAGAATATGCTAAAGCAAACTACCTTCTCGTGAAGTTCCTGGTTGGTCCTGAGCAGGTATTGCTTCTCCTCCACCCACTTTGAATCCTGCCATAACAACCAAACACAACATCAGCAAGAACTGAACTGGGACCGATGAGGAGAGGAAGGAAAGCATCCCACAGGACACAATCAGCCAGAACAAAACCCATGAGGTGACCATGTATCGGAAACGACAAATGACACGTGCAAACACAACAAACAGACAGGAACAGTGTGGCAGTGGCATGAATTTATTGTTCCAGAGAAATAAAGACTTATCCTGAGATAACAGGAAAATGAGCTGCATCAACAGTCATCCAGAGTTCACAGTAACAGGCGGAACAGAAGGTGAAAAACAGCAGAGCAGCAAATCAAATCACAAGCTGGATCAAGCCACAGTGAAACATGCAAGAAGCATGCAGAGACACAGGGAAAACTTGACCACAAATGAAGAAATGAATAGTAGTGATATGAAAGCATCATAATCATTTCAGTGTTCTTCATGATATTTAGTATAGGTTCAAATTAAGGTGCTTAGTGGCAGAAGTAATTTGAATCTATTGGGTTTGTCCAAATAGCCAAGGCTTTTCTCCTACACATGCAAATGCTTGGCTTATTTATTAAACACCAAGATGATTCATGATGACTTTTGTACCTTTAATAAGTTAAATTAATGTAAACAGATACTGATATCAGGGCTTTGGGGGTCTGCTGATGTGGAGTACTGATCTGATACCAGTTTTTATATCAGCTATATGCCTTATGGTGTGGATGTGATTGGGACCACTCTATGTGTAACGCAACATCAGGTTTGACTAAAACATTACTTTCCTTACTTAGTAAAACACAATATATCTAATAAATACATATGTATTCAATTGTTTTTCATTATTCAAATAGGATTAATTATTAAAATAATAAAAGCAAAACCATAGCAAAGTGTGTTAAAAAAAAGTTACAATCTCTATATATAAACCTTTATAATGCAACAAGTTATTAAAAACCTAAATAGAAAATACATTTCAGGATATAGCATTTAAAAATTCACATTACTAATGTGAATTGTATTTTCCTATTCAGTTCAGATAAAACATTAATGCTCTACGACATTAATCTATTCACAGCTAACAGGATTCAAAGTGATTCAAGCTTCCTCTCCAGGCTCCACATCCCAGAAAGTTCCAGAAAATCCCCAAAAGAAACGAAACCAACAGGAAGGGGATAGAGCATGCAGGAGTGGCATCACAGGATTCTGTGGAAAACCAGGTCAACAAAGCGCCAGCCGATGAGCAGAGCAGCCAGAAACACATGCAGGAGGGCCAGAGAGAGCAGGACCAGGGAGCCCCTGTCCCCCGTCTTTGTTACCTGCCCCCGCTCGGCCAGGGCCTTCTCCAGGTCCAGGATCTTGGCCTGGCAGCTGCTGAGATCGATGCGCAGCTGCTCACGTGTCTGTGGGAGGGAAGGGCCCATATGAGCAGACATTTAGATGGCAATTCTAAAAAACATACATTTCAATAATTGACCACACCTGGTAAATACAGTATGTTGAACTTGTATCTCTGTTAAAATACAGATACAGTATGTTCATCTGTTTATTTTGCAGAAAAAGAAAAACATTTGAGTATTGTTGGATTGTTGCTAAAAGGAGCCGAGTAAAATAATACAAACCCTGGCCTCCCGCTCAGCATCCAGAGTCCCCCCCGTCTGCTCCTGGAGGAGCGCGTAGGCCCGCTGGAGAGCCTGGTACTCTCTGGTCAACTGACGGAAACGAAGCTCCGACTCTTCTCTGGAAAAACTCTTAATTAAAAAAGAAAAAACATATGTATTAAAGACAAATTAGTATGCCGAGTAGGATGTTCCTTTAATACAATTTAAAGACAATATAAATGCATAAAAGGGATCTTCCTAATCAATACCTAACCCTGGCCACTGCATTTCTGGATGTAAACATATATACAAATGTAGTGAGATCAGAGGCCTGTACTACGAAGCTGGTTCAACCTAACCTGGATATGTTTGAGTTAGCCGGTTGGCCCAATCCAAAACATACGCGCTCTGGCTAAACTGTACTACGACGCTGGTTATCAAGTGGATCGCTCAAGCCAGCCGTGTCCTATCTAGTTAGGTGCGCGTTCACATGAAAAGGGGTGGTATTTGGAGCATTCGACCAATCTCAAACACGGACAAGCGTACTGACAGCGCAGCGTCATACTTCCTGAATGAAAAGTGAACTTTAATATTAGTCAAATATGAAGAACTTAAACTTTAAACATCCATGACTTAAACACTTTATCCAGGATAAAAGCCACATAGCTGCACCTGCAAGGTGAATACAGCTGGTAAAAGAAAAAGTGTTTGAATGCGTACATTAACAGGTTTATGAAATCACTGCCCCGTCCAAGACACGAGTGGATCTGACTTTAATTACATTTGACTCGAGTGTTTCGTCAACTTAATGTGTTGCTTAAAATAATACTTCTGCATACAGTATGTGACACTGTGAGTGTTGCACGGCCAGATACGGCTCAAGAAGCTGACTCAAATAAGGAAATATATGATACATTATGATGTGATATGATATGAATGATAATGGGACACATCGCCGTCTGCACTCACAGTGCCGCGGACTGTACTTAATGTTACTCTGATCCGGTTACTTATGTCGTGGCAGATATTTAAGTAAGCTTTCTTAACGCTAATGTTATAATAGTCAGATTGCTCTGAAGATGGGAGGTGATATTCTATTCATTTTCACGTTCACACAGTCAGTTGATTTTGGTCGGCCGTCTTTCCTGCAACGGCAGTTTTTCTGTATTTCCTCTATCCTGTAATATGAATTGATCGCTTTAAACTCCGCACACGGAGCTCTGATTGGTCAGCAGGCGGTGCTTTCACTGAGTTGATCTCTTAGTCTGCCACCTAACCTGCTCCGGAGCAGGTTTGCCGCTCAGCATAAGTTACCATGGAAATCTAGCCTGCTAAAAAGAGAACCAGCGTCGTAGGACCGGAAAGCCCGAGATTTCCCTGAAGTTAGCCGGCTAAGCGAAAATCCAGCTTCGTAGTGCAGGCCTCAGGTGCAAGGTTGTCGGCAGAGATGCAAGAGGAAACTATGAAAATGGCAAACACAGCATTGCAAATCCCAAAGCGAGTGTGAATCTGAGGTTGAATTTCACGCACTGGTGAGCACCATACCCGTGTTGAGCCGAGGCGGAGGGGCCAAATTTGCATTGAGAGTTTGCAGACCGCAACTACCAAATCGTACTGATTGTGCTTTAGAGATTTACACACACACACACACACACACACACACACACACACACACACACACACACACACACACACACACACACACACACACACACACACACACACACACACACACACACACACACACACACACACACACACACACACACACACCACACACACACACACACACACACACACACACACAACACACACACACACACACACACACACAGCACACACACACACACACCACACACACACACACACACACACACACACACACACACACACCACACACACACACACACACACACACCACACACACACACACACACACACACCACACACACACACACACACACACACACACCACACACCACACACACACACACACACACATCACACACACACACACACACACACACACACACACACACACACACACACACACACACACACACACACACACACACACACACACACTATTTCTTACCTCGTCTAAATCCTCCTCTGGAGTTGCAGGTGTGCGGTCAGTGAGGTCTGTGTTGTAGGAGGTCAGAGAGGAGGTCTCAGAGTCTACGGACTCCTCATCAAATCCAAAATACGTCTCCACAACATGCCTCTGCAGAGAGGAGAGAGGACAATGGAGGATATGCCCATGTTACAAAAATATAGAACGATAGCCAACAAATCCAACCTTTGTCAGGATTACATCACACGTGATTTCAGGAAAGAAAAAGATGATGTTAAATTCACTGAATTCTTTAATCCACCACACATCGTCGTAATAATGACATTAAAAGTTTAAACACCAATATTTTCCTAACACTTGTCAAAACCAGGTACTGTCATTCTGTTGTTTATCTCAGGCCAATCAACTCGGATAACGTATTGGCCTGTTTGTTTTCTTCTTTCTTGCTAATAACTCTCCCAAACCCCACAGCGTCCTTACCATCGTGTTTATAAGTCATCTCCTGGCAACCAGAGAAGTAGAGGCAGACTAGGGCACAGAGGCAAATGAAGGACGAGAAGTAGAGGATAAGGAGGAGGTACTCCGTCATGTTGCTACTGGACCAAAAACACCAACACACAACTATGGAGACTCTCCCAAAATATGTCTATAATATTTTGGGACTATTCAAAGCTGTGAAGGCCTCAAGGAACGCTGAAAAAGCACTTTCCTTTGCACTCCCACACAAAATGAAAAAGCAGACGACAAAGCTTCTGGTTTCATCAAATTACTTCTGCAGAAAAAAAGAAAAGGCCAGTTTCTGGTTTTGTCTTCAGGCTCAGATATTCAGCTACTGCTTTCAATTCTAAGAAAAACCAGCAAACTTCCAGTTGCAAGTCCAAGAGCCAAGCGGCTGTGCTCAACCCTGCATCTACCTCGCCAAGGTGACAAACTGGTTCCAGCTTGAGAGGTGGGACAAGATATCTGACATGCATCCAACAACTCCTCCTCCTAGCAACCACATAAGACTCTAAAGTGTGCCCTGGTGTATTTGCCCAAACACACGCATCCCAGCAGTTATTAACTTCCCCCAATTAGACAGAGTTATCCTGCTTCGCTCTTTATGTACCTGCTAAAAAAAGCACAGATAAAAAGACACAAACTGTTGCACAGAAATTGAGCTTCAAATCTTTAAGATAAATGTATTCACGGTCCAACAATGTCATAAAATAAAGCAAAAATGGAAATAAACAAATACGTTTGCACGAGCTGTTGGTTTTGGTTCAGGCAGGAGATGTATGATTGCTCATTGGATGCTCCCAGCTGTGAGGGATGCTGTCATAATTGTCTCCTGAGCCCAATTAAACACAAACATGCACAGAGACATGCACACACACTCAATTAAAAGCAGTACCAAAGGATCAGTCAACAACAGATAGTTAGTTAGGTAGTTGCTTAGTTACACCATTGGATTTTAAACACGTATGGAAACTTACTTTAGACAGTTTGAGAGGTTTCCTTTTGTTCTTTTTGCACATCGCCAATCGGTCACGTTCCTAAAGACAAACACACAGTAGGTAAGAACAGCCTCACATCTGAGATTTAATCGAGACTCATGAGCTGCAAAAGCTTCTTAATTCAAACAAGAAAAACTGACCAGATAATTGAGTTGATGAGGTCATATTTGATCAGGATTCATAATGTACTTGCATCCAGTCAATTTTTACTTACATTTTTTCTTTAAGTTAGTGATTGTGTAAAGTTTATTGTCTAGTTTAATCTTTATTTATGAAAAACAAACAAAACAACGAGAAAATATGTCATAGAAGCCATAATTGTCTTTCTAGTTCCCAACCCAAAACGCACATTTGTAACAGAGACAAGAAGAAAGTGAGAGGCCTCTCTTCTCAACTGCTTCCATCATCAGCTACGGAAAAGAAACAACGTGTTTATTATGTTTTACAACTGGCCTAGATTGTCTAGATTTACAAGCAAGATGTGGCTATTTTACCGACCGCAGGCAATCAAGCAATCCTTATTGTTAAGCCCTGAACATTATCATAGCAATAAAGCATGGTGGTTAAAGTGTTTGTTATGAGAAAGGGGGAGAGATTTTTTGCTGAATTTGAGATGTGCATTTATTCCTAAAGAAATAATGCATTCCACCAAACACAACACTGCCCCATGTGAAAATATAATCCACTGGGATATATATGGCAAAGAGGATTGGCTAGTGCTCTTATAATGTGACGGCTGAATGCCTGACAGGAGACAAATTCCTATTAACTGACAGCATGTCGTTAAACCGCCCGGCCCCATCACATTTTAGAACAATCTTTGATTTGTTTTCAGAAAGGTGTGAGATAACAGCGCACATCTAAGAAACACAAGTTAGGGAGTTGTTATTTGAGTAAAAACAGTAACACTTGGCCCTCCTTTAAAAACAATTAGATGGTTAATTGATTGATTTCTGTCCGTTTTTGGAGTAAATTCCTGACCTGCGTGAGCTCGTCAATGATGCCACTTTGCTCAGAAACCTGCAGCTTGAGGAACTCCACTTCCTGTTCCTCGTGGGCATGGCTCAGGTCTGTCAGCGAGCTTGGGCGCTTCAGCTGGGACTGAATGCATTGTTGCTGTGGGGGGGGGCCGAGAGGCGGCGGCTTTTTCCTTCTGAGGGGGGAAGAAGAGAGAGGCAAAATGATGGTTCTACAGAAAATAGTCCCATGCTCCTCCTGTAGGGGGCCCTCTTCCTTATTGATGATATTCACAGGGACACTCAAAGTAACACAATCCCTCTCCCTCTTCCTCAACAGATTTAAACTAAGATGTATGCTATTGTATTTGTTATACCTTTGGATTAATAGACAGAAATGGACAGAGAGTATTTGTATTCAAACATAGACGTGATGCTTCTCTCTCACCATCTCAGCGTTGACTCGGCTCAGGTTCTTCAGTTTCTCCTCCATGCGTTGCAGCGTTTGCAGGAGGTCGTCATTCTTCTTGGACAGCCGCTTGTTTTTCTCAAACAGGGGCTTCATCTGGCTCTCGGCCTCTCGCATGCGCTTTAACTGAACACAGGAAGGAAACAGGGAAGGGAACAATGTGAACTTAAGTCTTCTAGTGACAAGGAATTTCCAGTTTAAGCAGGAGAGGCAAGATCAAGGTCGTAGGGCTATGTTTTGAAAATCTTCAAATAGAAGCATATATGTTTATTTATGTATGTATACCTGTAGTTGTAAGTGTAATATATGTTTGTGCATCCCCTACAATCACTCTACACATTTGTTTACATGTGTGTTTTCTCACTAGTTCATTCCTCTCGTCTGCCAGCAGTGCATTTCTGTCCTCCAGCTTCCTGATGACCGAGTGGAGCTCTGCAATCTTCAGCTGGAATCTCCTCATGTCGCGCTCCTCCACTTCCTGGGGAGCAGGGGGGAGAGGAGAGGAGGAGGAAGACACAAACTAAAAAAGGGAGTACATGCATGCAGGCAGACGGGTAATCAAATGGATGGAAAAGAGGAGGTGATGGGATGAAGGATGAGATGCCATTTCATTGAGAAACGTATATGCATTACAAGTATATGCTTCTCAAGAACATACGAGTATGTGAAGGTGTGGCCTAATGTACAGATATGCAATATAGTTGCAAATCTAGAAATAACATCTAATTAATGTTTCTTCCTTGTCACTTGTTTGTGAGGTTTTTTTTAAGTGCAATGGTGGAATGTGTAAACCATGACAGCATACCTGACAAAACAACAATAACATAACCAGTTTTTTAGTACATTTGTTTGTACTTTTGTTTCCTTTTTGTAATTCTTTAGAGTCCTATAACAAGTTTAAATCAGGAATCACACTTTTTTTGCCAGGGTACCTGCAGGTGATCCAGAAAACCAATCTAAAGCTAGGGTCTTTTTCTTTATTTAAATGCATTTCAAAGGCAATATAAAAGGTTTTGTTACCCTTCTAAAATATTTCAATTATTTGCATAAAAAATGTACAGTATATATTTGAAAAATGCTCTCTACCTCACTAGTTCAAGAATAAATCAATCAGTCGTAGAGAGAAATTATGTTTATCAAATACTGTGACATAACTTGAATGTCTCTATTTTAGACTGATGCATGTAAAGAATTTAATACCCATAATATGAATACATCCATGCACAGATGTACAGATGCATGTGTGTACCTGGTTGATGAGCAGGTCTGAGTTGTCCCCCAGCCCAGGCATCAGCTCTCTCTTGGGGCTGCCGTGGTTGTATCTCTCGGCCTCTCGTACATGACCCAGCTGCTCGTCCAGAGTGTCTTTCTGCAGCTGCAGCTTCTGGGTGTAGCCGGCCTGCACCCCCAGCTCCCTCTCCAGAGCACCCATCACTCGGTCCTTCGACTTCAACTCATCCATCTACAAGAGGGATGGATAGGAACATGGTGGTAGCGAAAGGGAGTGAGTCGGACAGTTTCACATTCAAGCCCAGTTACAGCCCACATCAATAGTGAAAATGTCCACAAAACATCAACACAGATATTTCTAAGATAATGTTGCAGAAAACAAATGAAAAATGATTATGTTTTCTCTAACTGTGTACGCCCTCAGTGTACAAGCTGTATGCACAGATGGCAGAGAACAGGAGAACAGGAGGGACAGTGTTTTAACTTTGAAAATGTAGTGATAAGGATGTTATTAATTCATGAAGCTGACAAATGTTCCCACTTCCCTTCTTCTAACACTGGAATATTCGGCACTGCCTGCTCTCCATCAATGAGGCATTTTTACCCTCGGACTACTCCAAATAATATTCAGTCTGCTCAGACATTTCTTTACTAACAAAAATGCCTGATGTAGCCCTACTGTATGTCAGCGAGTTAATGAGTAACTGCAGCAGGTATACAGACGTTTGTCTTTGCAGATAAGCACCACATGGGGAGATGGGCTTAGGCAGACAATACAGCAATTAGCCTTTAACCTTCATGCAATTTCAGTGGGATAAAGTTCAGAAGCAGGGAAACAGATGTTGGAGTGTGACGAACTCCGGGTGATATTCAAATGTGGTTGAGTCAGATGAGAGATATACAAATAACAAGCTGCTGGTTTTTTAAAGGCTAACCTATCATGGGAATACTGAAAGATGGTTTATGAAGCAGTGTCAATATTTGGTTTTGTTATTTATTGCTGCACTGTTTTGTGACGCTGGACATAACAGGACAGTCGAACAGAAGCTCAAAGGGGAAGCTATCATATGGTATTGAATGTTAAAGGCCCTTAACAGCTGAGTGAGTACAGTTTTGGTTGTTTCAATTCAGATACTTCTGTATAATAAGGATATAACAACAAAGTAACGGGATGACAGTTGTGGAAGTTCAATGGGTTTACTTTTTTGCCAGATCACTGACAATAATATATTATTAAATAACAACCACACAGTCCAGAGGCTCATTAGCTCAGTTTTGTGTTAAAGAGTCAATGTAAATGTGGCTTATTTTGTCATGTTGATATTGTAAATACAAATATGCCAACTGGCGTACCAAGGTAAAAAAAACTGTTAAATAGATGAAATAATTTCTAATAACTAAAATGATCCGTTGTGATGTTTTTATTTATGGGTCATGTAAAGACTTAGCAAGTGTCCATGTCAGATTGAGATGAGACGTATGTGTTGTGTGTCTTTCCCAGCAGCATGAGGTCTCACCAGTCTGCGGATGTCTCTCTCACAGTCCCGTTTGATGCGGTGCACCTCATCCTGGTGCTGTTGGTAGGACGTGCGGAGATCTCCTGCTTTGGCTTTATCGGCCTGCAGAGCATTAGCGAGAGCCTCGTCAGCCTGCTTCCTGGCTGTCTTCTGCTCCTGGATCTAAAAAAATAAAACACACACAAACAATAATATGATCACACACAAAACCAAAACACCAAAGAGAGTGACACTCTCACATTCATAAAAACACATCCTATCCTATTAGTCATTTGTACTGATAGATAGCGTGTTTGTATGGAAAGGATACAACGAAACAATAGCTTGGGAACAATCTTTTCCACCCCACTTCCTGTTTTTCAGCAGCAAATGTAAAGAGGTTTATAGAGCCCCAATACACACACATACACACAAACACAAACACACACTAATGCCAACTTCCACAAACATTCTTTCATCTTTATCAAAGAACAAACAACACCCTCAAAAAATATCCAATCTGCAACACTTAATCGCCCCCATCTTCCCAACACTTAACACTTGACAGCTGAAGTGCTTTTAATATGTTGCGGTTCATCTAATGACATTGCTGCAGATCCACATTAATCTGAGCTCTACTTTTGAGAAGCAGAGTACACAAGATGGGGTTTGAGAGCAGCATTACGGTTAATCAGGGCTGCGTATTGTTAAAGAAGTTATGATAGTACCACAGTACCAAAGCAGTTTCAAATACCATAAGAGTAATTATTTAGTGTGCTTCATTCTAGACCCATCATGTGAATGGAAGCATTACATTCTGTAAAATGCCACCACCTCTTTTCCACGTCCAGGTGATATTTACAGTAATATATCTTGAAAGTGATCAAATTATTTAAATATATTATACCTAATACTTGTAGTGGTATCTCGGCACGCTGCACTGCTAACAAAAATAAAATGATTACTGCATTTCCTTCACCTCAAGCTTATCCTGCGACCCACCTCCTGCTGCAGCTTTATCCTCTCCCCATCGAATGCTCTCCTGGCCTCCTCCCGAGCCTCTGCCAGGAGAGCATTCTTTAGCTTGTCAGCAGCTCCATCTCTCAGGGCGTTCACGAGCCCCTGGAGCCTCTGCGCCTCAGCCTCCCGGATCTTGATGGCCCGGGCCAGCTCAAAATCATGCTGCCGCACCAGGGTCTCACGGGCGGCCGTGTTCTCCCGTATCTTTTCTTCATGGAGCTTGGCGCGCAGGTCAGTGAGCGCCACAGCATGTTTGTGCTGCTCAAGCTCCCGAGCCTGCCGCTGCTCCTGGAGTCGCTCACGCAGCTTACATATCTGGTGGAGAGACACATTTTGCCATTTGAATTCAATCAACAGGTCATTATTAAACAATTTACAGGCAGTTGGTGTATTAATTCATTTGCCCTTAGCATCATGATAACTTCATTTAAACCTGTGTGCTTTATTTTCTATAACAAAAGGAATGATGGATTACGTGTTATGAAATGTGCAATATTAATAACATTTTATTTTCTATTCTCCCATAAAAAGGACCGATGCAAAGAAGGGCACAGAGAGCAGAGAGGTCCTGTTTGTGTCGATCAGAAGATAAAAGGAGAGGCAAACCACCCTGACAGCTTTTAAAAGAGTGAATAACCCACTGAACAAACTAAAGTGCTGGTTGTACTTCATTATTAATGAGACACCTAAAACAATAACATCTGGTTGTGACGAAGGTGGCTTCGTCACTGTGGACTGACGGCTTCGGGCTTTGTATATTGCACATGTGTTTTATTTTGAAAAGTGTTCCCTTTCCCCATGTCTGTTGCTCCTGATTATGTTCACCTGGTGCCCTGTGTTGTCTCCTCCCCCCTCACCTGTGTCTTGTTGGGTTAATTAGTGTGAGTATTTAGGCTCTGTGTTTCCTGTTTTGTTTGGTGTGTGAAAAAACGCGAGATATGCAAATAACATTACATTACATTTAGCTGACGCTTTTATCCAAAGCGACTTACAATAAGTGCATTCGACCAGGAAGATACAAACTTGAAGAAAACAGAATCATATAAGTACATCAGGTTTCATAGAGCCAAAACATTTCAAGTGCTACTCAACTAGCTTTAGATAAGCCAGTCCTTTATTAGTATACAAGTGCTTTGTTAGTAATTGTATCGCTCGAAGTGGAGTCGAAAGAGATTAGTTTTTAGTCTGCGCCGGAAGATGTGTAAGCTTTCTGCTGTCCTGATGTCAATGGGGAGCTCATTCCACCAAATAAATATATGTATAAGCTCATACTTAGAGTCATTATTTATTACAGCTTTTACTTAAAGGGGACCTATCATGCAAAATGCACTTTTGTACGTCTTTTATACATGAATATGTGTCCCCGGTGTTCCAGGGAACTCACCAAGTGTCAGAAAACACAACCCTCTCTATTTTCCTCCATACCCAAATCTCTAAAAAAGGGGCTGCAACGGATCTGATACAGACTGATACAGATTTGAACACTTTCCTGACGTCAGGAAAGTGGCGCTACGGCTATTGGGCCAACTCCACCAATCAGGAGGAGACAACCACGGCATTGCCGTTCGAAAGCGCTGGAGACGCTGTAATACATATGCCAGGCCTGTAGGTGGTGCTGTTCTCACAGAATCAACCCTTGCAAAAACAGAGCTATAAATTGTCAAATTGAGCAAAATGAGGCATGGCTAAAATGCATGATCTGTTTGGTATTTTGAAAAAAAAAAAGTATAAATATGCCTTATATAGGTATGGTCCTACACTATATTATTCAAATATAGCATGATAGGTCCACTTTAACATATTCATTATTGTGTGTGCTTGCAGTGAGCGCCACAGCATGCTTTGAAAAAACATTTTACACTTTGTGACAGCGAGCCTGCGTAAAGAAGTATTCATTAATACTTTTCCCACATAAGGCCTCCTCTTTGGCCTCACCTTGTTGCGCTCCTGCTGCAGCTCCATCTGGCTGTCCATGAGTTTACTCTTGAATTCCTCGTTGGTGGTCGGCACCGAGTCGGTCATCACCTCGGACTTCCTTCCCTTTTTAAGGGGCGGGGCTGCGGGGGGTGTGGTCGAGGACATAGCACTCTAGCTGCCAAATCAGGACAGACATAGAGTACCGGGTGTAGCGAAAGGAAGGAGAGTCAGTCGCTGCTCCGCCTCCGTGCGCGGCCCTGCATCATCATCATCATCATAATACGGTTGTCAAGTCTACATCATGGCTGGAGGTTGCAGAGTTTCTATTTGAGAGAGACAGAGAAACAGAAGCAAAAAGAAAAGGGATGAGTCAGACTGGGTTACACCAAACAACTCTGCACAAAGCACTGGACCAAAGCCACATGACACACTGCAGCCAGGGGAAACCAGACTATTTTAGGGACTAACGTTTACTCTCTCTCCTCGGTCACACTCTTGTCTCCAACATCCAAAAAGCCATTTATCACCATCCTATACCAATCCCTGGGCTGTGGTTAGAAGCCCCATAGTGCATGAAAAAGTGTCTGACCACCAGAGTTATGGTCCCCCAGCCTCTCACAGCTCCCTAACACGTCTCTATTAGTACACTTAGAAATTAATCCTTTACCTTGACGATTAGTTTTTCCAGATATCCTGCACTCGGTTCAGGACCTGCACACATACTGTGCAGATTAAAGAGCTGCTTTAGTCTCACTATAGTCCACTTAACCCCCTGCAGAACAGACTGATCATCACAAAACACACCAGCACTGCTTTAGTAGTTTACCTCCGTGAATACTGGCAGTCTGTACTTAATAGAGTTTAATAGTAATCTTCTTGGAGTCTGTCTTTTCTGTTGCCTTATTTTTGTCTTTACACCATTAAAACAAATTGCAATTCAACGCAGAGATCTGTTTGAGTTTGTCTCATCTCTTAGACATGCATCTGGTCCAAAGAGATGACTGATATTTGATATTTCCACTTTATCCATCAGTGTAATACAATTGCAAGATGTGTTTCCATCCTTCCCTTTCCTTTCCTTTCCTTGGATATTCCAGAAAGAGTGGCCAGTGGCAAAAATGTTCGGGTTTATAGCCATATTCTAAACCAAATCAATTTTAGAATGTGACAAAAGACAATGTTTATAATAATCTTTTTTTTCAACTAACAGTTTCAGCTTTAATATGAAACCAATCACAATATCATTGTTATGAATTGGATAAGCTTGAAGAAAGAGATGAATGACACAAACCGAGAAAAATACATAAGGATTTAAATGGATGATCAGCTTTCTCTCTAGTTGTGTTAGCAGGTGTATTTCTGGCATATTTAGTTATGGATTTGTTGCGACAATGACACGCATACACTGAGCTGAAAGTGGACTCCTCTAATCTCTTCCAGAATTGAAATGTAACCCAATAACATTCTAGTTCATTCTGCCGTCTATTAAATAAATAATGCAACGATGGAGGGACCTAAAGCATTAAGACCGCAGGCAGGCGCCTCCATCTTTTTCTACACACACATCACCAAACGTTCATTCACAGATGGCAGCAATAGTAACCAAGGCAACTCTTGCTCTCAGAAACTCCCGTAGAAAAAGGATTGATGGGAAGTAGGATTTGAAACACACAGCGACACACGCAATCGTTTAGTGGCTGCATATTTTTTTTAAACACGTACACACGCACATAGTTTTGTTATCTGGTTCAATCTCAGAGCCGAGGTTGACTGAGAGTCAGAAATGCATTGATGCTGGAGGCGCTTTCTTCCACATGGATTCTTACAAGGCACACACAGTCAGACGCTGAGAAACAGTGGGGATGGGAGAGGATAAGAGACAGGATGGGAGAGGATTGAGCCTATAAGAGAGACAGAGAGAGAAAGAGCATGGGCAAAGTGGAAGAGAATACCACCATCTCCCCCCTCTCCTCTCTCACCCTCCTCCCCCACTTGCTGGCATCGGGATGTTACCGAGCTGAGGCCATCAGTGATCTCCCTCTCATTCACAGAGACAGAGAGAGAGAGGCTATTCACACACAGAACGCACTGACCCAAGCACACACTCCTCCGGTCTCTTACACAGAACAACTCGGGACAGATACAGCTGACATCTTTTCACAAAAAACCTCAGTACATCCATTCACATTACTCACAAACATATCTTTTTTTGTTTTACAGCAACTGAATAGACTTGTCTCACAACAATGTGTACTGGAATCTGCATACTTGATTTACAAGAATGAAGAAATGTGTCTGTAAACTATCCACCCTGCCACTGATTTGTACATGTGTATGCATGCCTGTGTCATTATCAGAGACCAGGTGTGCCCTCGAGCTGAGAGGCATGACGGACAGTTTTACTGGTTTTTCTTGATGTATGTAACACTGATCCTGAGCAGAAACAGGAAGTGTTAACTTAAGTGGTCTGATGCATGTACATTTTATTCATGTTCATCTTTATATACTTTTGGTCAGAGCTAGTATACTGATAACCTCTTCTTAAATCAGAACATAACCCCTTATCAATAATGTATAGGACATTTTTCACTTTGGTACGAGTCCAGATTTTTCCCATTTGCCCACTTACAAAGAAATGAACAGTCTATCATTTTAATGGTAGGTTTATTTTAACAGTGAGAGTAAGAATATCAAAAAGAAAATCCAGAAATTGACATTATATAAAAGATACAAATGTATTTGCATTTAACTGTGGGAAATAAGTATTTGATCCCCATGCAACCAACAAGAATTCTGGCGTGGGTAAACTTACAAAATCGGCAAGGGATCAAATACTTTTTCCTCCACTGTATATGTAAGTTGACAACCACATACAGTTCCCACGAAGCCCCCTGAAGCCACGTGTTCGCAAGCTGGCAGCCAGAACCAAACTGAGTTTTTATAGGGGAAACTGGAACATTTTATAGGAGCTCCAAGAAGCTAAAAGGCACCTTTAATGTTCACAGAGACAAACACAAGCTAGCACAGGTCATAGGCCCTATTAGCTCATCCACTCTGGTATATAAACAGTTACCCAGCTTACATTGTACGAACAAGGCAAAATGTTTAAATCTAAAATCTTTCAACAGACAAAAACTGATGGCCAAGAGAAAGAGTAATCCTCCACCCAGCTGATACCCACATACAGCTAAATAACATTACTATGACTCATTAATTCAATCAAATGCCAAACATTTTAAAATATTAAAAGATCAACTGAATAATAAAGCAACAAAAAAGGCACCTTATAGGCCTATTCAAATAGAGAACCGCAGTGACGCGTCCTAAAACCCGGAAGTAAGTTAGCATTTTTACCACGTCCGGTTCCTTCGACAAAAAGCAATGCTGTTTCTCCATAGGATTTTGGAAAATAGCTCGAAATAAGGTCTGTGTTTGACACAAATTGAAGAGACAGATCACGTTTTGTTCTACGACATTAAATACATCAGCAGTGACCCCGCTGGTGATTTTTTGAAGAGTTTACGTGTCTGAAAAACGATGGTTGTTCACATGTGGCTGAATAGGACTACAGAAGTCCACCGTTACACCGAAAACGTAAACACTCCCGCTAAGTTTGTTTGCCCTGTTCTGCTTGAAAGCAAGTACCTGCGCTCTTGCAAACTGTTAAAACAAACGCTTCAACTTGTACAATTTTGAATCTGTAGTTTTTAATATGGATCTTAAATTGGCGTGACGTTGAAGCAGCGACCCTGTTGTAGTTCATTATAGCATAACGTTAGCATTTTGCTTCTGGCGACTAGATTTATGATTCGAAAATTATAAAAGTAGTGTAGACATGTGGATATTATCCGGCTGAACAAAACGTGATCCCTTTCTTAAATGTGTGTCAACCACAGACCTTAATTCGAGCTATTTTCCTAAATCCTATGGAGAAATTGCATTGGTTTTTGACGAAGGAACCGGAAGGAGTTTACATCCGGGTTTTAGGACGCGTCACTGCGGTTCTCTATACAATGAGTGTATCCTAACACATCAAGTTCAACAAACAATGGCGCTAAATAACTTGATGTTGACTGCAAGAAAAGAAGTGATGAAGAAATCCTGCAGCTGCTGGGAAGTTTCACCTTTGAGCCAAGTTCTGTTTCAATGAGTATAAGGTCAGCGACAAGATGTGTCCTTCAGCGTCGATACAGCATAAGAATCGGTTCTACAGTAGGTCAGCAAGTCACATTTTTGGCAACTCTACTTGAAGATTACCTTAAAGGATAATAGTTTATCAAAATGCCTACTATTTCTTTGTCCACAATATTCCACCTAATCTTTTTTGCTATATTTGCTTTCTGTTTGGAAAGCCAGGGTGTCTTCTACTCACTGCCTGTTTCTGTATTTCTATGAAGTTCATATTATTAATGTCATCTGTTTGAAACAAGTCAGAGGCGGAGGATTGAGTATTGACATTGGTGACTAACTTCATACAAATTAAGCCTGCAAAGAGATGTGCAATTTGACCAATGAATGATTGCTGGGGGATATCACTATTATGATTAACATACACATTGTACAACAAACTCATGGATGAGTAGGTGGTCTTTTACAAGCTACTTAAATAAACTGAATAAAACCTGACATTTTTAAGAAACACAACTTCTAATATGACATTTAGTTTCATATTCATATGTCATACGAGTTATTTATGGGTCATTTATAACGATGTTAGCCTATAAACTGCATAGGTGTTTCTTTTTGTTCTTCTTTGACTAGATAGTACAGAAGATAGACAGGTGAGCTAACAGGGCCCTTAGATCCTCTACTATTAGTGTTACTTACATTTAGTGTCGACAGACAACTTTGCAATGGTCCCAATCCTATTACACACTAGCAGATGGACCTCCTCGAAGCTAGACAGACCTCACACACACATATTGTCAAACATTAACTAGACTTCAGCGAGACATGGAGGCCCATAAAGACATAAAAGAGCTGAAACAAAGACTCATTTATTTTTAATCGAGGTTACAAATCTACAGAGAGGGTGTGTCCGACTGAGATAAACTCCTGTGTATATGCTGCACATTGGTCACAATGCCTCATAGGCTTATATACAGACACAATACACATACATCCCTATTGCAGTCATATAAGCATCAGCAGTGTCGACTATCAGAACAGATCTGGCCACACTCCAGACATCACTCCACAACACAGACACACAAAACACACTTAGCAGTCTAGTGATCCTCCAAAGACACTGTACGATGAGAGGCAGAGTAACCATACCAAGTGCAGCACTAGTGGAGCATATGACCTACAAACTGCTATGCCA